CAATTTTGATGATAGGGTGTTGATTTTAGATCTTTCCTTGCTTCTGATGTGGGTGTTTATTGCTGTAAATTTTCCTCTAGACACTGCTTTAAATGTGTCCCAGAGATTCTGGTATGTTGTGTATTTATTCTCATTGGTTTTGAGGAACATCTTTATTTCTGCCTTCATTTCATGGTTTATCCAGTCAACATTCAAGAGCCAGTTGTTCAGTTTCCATGAAGTTGTGTGGTACTGAATTAGTTTCTTAATACTGAATTCTAATTTGATTGCACTGTTATCTGAGACTGTTTGTTATGATTTCTGTTCTTTTACATTTGCTGAGAAGTGATTTACTTCCAATTATGTGGTCAGTGTTAGAATAGGTGCGATGTGGTGCTGAGAAGAATGTATATTCTGTGGATTTGGGGTGGAGATTTCTGTAGATGTCTATTAGGTTTCCTTGGTCCAGATCTGAAACAAGTCCTGGATATCCTTGTTAATTTTCTGTCTCATTGATCTGTCTAATATTGACAGGGGAGTGTTAAAGTCTCCCGCTATTATTGTGTGGGAGTCTAAGTCTCTTTGTAGGTCATTAAGAACTTGCTTTGTGTAACTGGCTGCTCCTGTATTGGGTACATATATATTTAGGATCATTAGCTCTGCTTATTGCATTGATCCTTTTGCCATTGTGTAATGTCCTTCTTTGTCTCTTTTGATCTTTGTTGGTTTAAAGTCTATTTTATTAGAGACTAGGATTGCAACTCCTGCTTTTTTTTGCTCTCCATTTGCTTGGTAAATCTTCCTCTATCCCTTTATTTTGAGCCTATGCCTGTTCTTTTTTTTTTTTGAGACGGAGTTTCGCTCTTGTTACCCAGGCTGGAGTGCAATGGCGTGATCTCGGCTCACCGCAACCTCCGCCTCCTGGGTTCAGGCAATTCTCCTGCCTCAGCCTCCTGAGTAGCTGGGATTACAGGCACGTGCCACCATGCCCAGCTAATTTTTTGTATTTTTAGTAGAGACGGGGTTTCACCATGTTGACCAGGATCGTCTCGATCTCTTGACCTCGTGATCCACCCGCCTCGGCCTCCCAAAGTACTGGGATTACAGGTCTGTTCTGGTATGTGAGATGGGTTTCCTGGATACAGCACACTGATGGGTTTTGTCTTTTTATCCAATTTGCCAGTCTGTGTCTTTTGATTGGGGCATTTAGCCCATTTACTTTTAAGGTTAATATTGTTATGTGTGAATTTGATCCTGCCATTTTGATGCTAGCTGGTTGTTTTGCCTGTTAGTTGATGCAGATTCTTCATTGTGTTGATGCTCTTTACCATTTGGTACGTTTTGGAGTGGCTGGTACTGGTTGTTCCTTTCTATGTTTAGTGCTTCCTGCAGGAGCTCTTGTAAGGCAGGCCTGGTGGTGATGAAATCTCTCCGCAATTGCTTGTTTGTAAAGGATTTTATCTTCCTTCGCTTATGAAGCTTAGTTTGGCTGGGTATGAAATTCTAGGTTGAAAGTTCTTTTCTTTAAGGATGTTGAATATTGGCCCCCACTCTCTTCTGGCTTGTAGGTTTTCTGCTGAGAGATCTGCTGTGAGTCTGATTGGCTACCCTTTGTGGGTAACTCGACCTTTCTCTCTTGCTGCGCTTAGCATTTTTTCCTTCATTTCAACCCTGGTGAATCTGATGATTATGTGCCTTGGGGTTGCTCTGCTTGAAAAATATCTTTGTGGTGTTCTCTGTATTTCCTGGACTTGAATATTGGCGTGCCTTGCTAGGTTGGGGAAGTTCTGCTGGATAATATCCTGAAGAGTGTTTTCCAGCTTGGATTCATTCTCTCCATCACATTCAGGTACACCTATCAAACGTAGATTAGGTCTTTTTACATAACCCCATATTTCTTGGAGGCTTTGTTCATTTCTTTTCACTCTTTTTAATCTAATCTTCTTGTTTTATTTCATTGGGTTGATCTTCAGTCTCTGATATCCTTTCATCTGCTTGGTTGATTCGGCTATTGAAACTTGTGTGTGCTTCACGAAGTTCTCTTGTGTTTTTCAACTCCATCAGGTCATTTATATTCTTCTCTAAGCTGTTTATTCTCATTAGCATTTTGTCTAACCTTTTTTCAAGGTTCTTAGTGTCTTTGCATTGGGTTACAACATGTTCTTTTCGCTCAGAGAAGTTTGTTATTACCCACCTTCTGAAGCCTGTTTCTGTCAGTTCATCAGACTCATTCTCCATCCAGCCTTGTTCCCTTGCTGGTGTGAAGTTGTGATCCCTTGGAGGAGGAGAGGCATTCTGGTTTTTGTTGTTTTCATCCTTTTTGCACTGGTTTCTTCCTATCTTTGTGGATTTATCTACCTGTGGTCTTTGTTGTTGGTGACTTTCAGATGGGGTCTCTGAGTGGACGTCCTTTTTGTTGATGTTGAAGTTATTTCTTTCTGTTTCTTAGTTTTCCTTCTAACTGTCAGGCCCCTCTGCTGTAGGCCTGCTGGAGGTCCACTCCAGACCCTGCTTGCCTGGGTATCACCCACGGGTGCTGAAGAACAGTAAGGGTCACTGCCAGTTTCTTCTTCTGTTATCTTCATCCCAGAAGGGTACCTGCTAGATGTCAGCCTGAGCTCTCCTTTATGAGGTGTCTCTTTGGATATATAGGGGTCAGGGAGCTGCTTGAGGAGACAGTCTGTTCCTTATAGGAGCTCAAGTGCTGAGCTGGGAGCTCTGTTGTTCTGTTCAGAGCTTCTGGGCAGGTACCTTTAAGTCTGCTGCAGCGGAACTCATAAATGCCTTTTTCCCCAGGTGCTCTGTCCTGAGAAGGTGGGGCTGTATTTATAAGTTCCTGACTTGCTGCTCCCTTTTTCCAGAGATGCCCAGCCCAGCAAGGTGGTAGTCTAGCTACAGTCTGCCAGCAGAGGCGTTACTGAGCTGCTGTGGGCTCTGCCCAGCTGCTGTGTGAACTTCCTGTTAGAACTGCCTCAGTAATGGTGGTCTGCCTCAGTAATGGTGGACTGCTTCGGTAATGGCGGACTGCCTCAGTAATGGTGGACTGCCTTGGTGAAGGTGGATTGCCTTAGTAATGGCGGACTGCCTTGGTAATGGCTGACGTCCTTCTCCCCACTGAGCTGGACCATCCTGGGTCCAGCTGTGCTTGTTGTGAAACTCTCAATCCAGAGCATTTCAGATTGCTGATCTTTGTTGAGGGTGGGACCAGCTGAGCCAGATCACCTGGCTCCCTGTTTCAGCCCCCTTTTTCTTCAGTTGAATGAGTGGCTCTGTATCGCAGGCATTCCAGGCGCCTGTTGAAATGGCTGCCCGGATTTGTGCGAGCTTTTGTGTGGAGACCCACAGTGTTGGCTGAAACAGCCATGCTGGAAACTTGTGGCGCTTTTCTGCCCGGGAATCTCCTGGTCTGTGGGCAGTAAAAACTCATTTGGAAATGTGGTGATTATGCACCCTCTGTGTTCTTCTGGCTGGGAACTGCACTCCAGAGCTCTTCCTATTTGGCCATCTTGGATCGATCCCACCCTCGATTTGCATTTCTTTCATGTTTAATGACATTGAGCATCTTTTCGTGTGCCTATTGGCCATTTGTTTATCTTCTTTGGAGAAATATCTATTCATATCTTTTGCCCACTTTTAATTGGATTATTAATCTTTCTGTTTTTGAGTTATAAGTTCTTTATTCTGAATACAACTCCCTTGTCAGATATATGACAAGATTGAGCCATCTTTGTAAATATTTTCCCTCATTCTTTGGGTTGTCTTTTCACTTTCTATTTTTTTTATTTTTTAGAGACAAAGTCTCACTCTGTCACCAAGGCTGAAGTGCAGTAGCACGATTATGGCTCATTGCAGCCTCGAATTCCTGGGCTCAAGTGATCCTGTCACTCTCAGCCTCCTGAGTAGCTGGAACTACAGGCATGAACCACCATGCTTAGCCAATTTCATTTTTTTTTTTTTTGTAGTGATGGAGTCTTATTATGTTGCCCAGTCTGGTCTCAAACTCTTGGTCTCAGGTGATCATCCTGCCTTTACCTCTCAAAGTGCTGGGATTACAGGCCTGAGCCACTGCACCCAGCCAATTCTCAGCATTAATCAGATCTGTACAGTGGTCACAGTCCATCTTAGTTCAGTTGCTTTGGCCTAGAACCCATCTCCCAGTGTTGGCACATATGGTTGTTTTTCTAGGAGAATATCAGTTGCTCTTTTGCTCTAAGAATTCAATGTTTCTTGCTGTGGGATCAAAGATTATAGATTATCCCTGTGGCAAACCCACTGTTTTATCATCCCAACCATGGATGGTTTTGAAAGGTAAAGAGGGTGCTAATAGTACTTATGCTGGACAGATAGTTTAAATGGAGACTGTAATGGGCACAGTAGGATGTGTGGTCACTCTGGTTATGCCTGTTCTGTGAATTTGCTGTTAATTGGGGAATACTGATATTAAAATGTTCTGTGTTTTTCCTCAAGTGCCACAGATATATGCTGGTCCGTGCACATACACACGAGTGCACATGCATGCACACACACACATATACTTAGGCATTCATGCCTAATAACAAATAAGGTAGAGGTAGGTAGTCTGGCTGAGTTAATGTAGAATTTTTGCTAAAAAGAATATTCTTCTTTTCCTTCAGACTTGTTCACAGGGGGCACCTGCAGATCTTTTAAGTGCTCTTAATTCTTACACAGAAAGGGCATTCCAATTAATATCGTTTGTCAGGAAGAAATACTTATTAAAATGTCTTGGAATAATGGAACATGAACGTTTGAAAAGACCCACTTCGCAGCTTTTATTCAAGTTATAAAATGGGAATTACTTCAGGTGTAAATAATTCATCCCAACAAATTTGTTTCATTTGGTGTCTATCTGCCTGGCCACCTGTGAATATGAGATTTTATTTTTGGAGCCCTGTGTTGTTAACCACTTGTTACTTTAACACCTCTCATGAATCAGAGTTCTGACCCTCAAGGGTCCAGACTTCTAAGTCCTTTTTCACTGAAGTGTTTGTGCTTTTCTATAGACAGTCTTCCAAACAGAAGAAGGCCATTCAAACTGCTATCCGCAAAAATAAAGAGGCAAATGCAGTGCTGGCTCGGCTGAACAGTGAGCTCCAGCAGCAGCTCAAGGTAAGGAATGAGTCCCAGATTTGGATGATGAGGCTTTTCTCTGGCTTTTAAAAAAGGTGATATTCAATGACAGCTCACTGCAACTTCGAACTCCTGGGCTCAAGTGCTCTTTCTGTCTCAGCCTCCCAAGTGGCTAGGATGATGGACGTACACCATCATGTCTGGCTTACTCTGATTTTTTATATTTCCTTTCTTCTACTTTAGGTTTCATTTGGCTTTCCTTTTCAAGTTTCTTGTTAAGATGAGAGCTCTCATGTCAATGATTGAAGACTTTCTTTTTTTCAAATATGAATGTTCAGTGCTATAAATTTCTTCCTAAGTTCAACTTTAGTTGCATTCTACACATTTTGAATGTTGCGTTTTTTGTGTTCATTTAGTTCTAAATACTTCCTAAGTTCCCTTTTCATTTATTCTTTGGCACATGGGGTATTTAGAAGTGTATTGCTTAGTTTTCAAAATGATTGGGGATTTTGCAGAGATCTTTCTGTTGTTGATTTCTAATTCAATTCCATTGTGATCAGAGAATATGCTTTGTATGACTTGAATTCTATTAAACATATTTGTACTTTAAAAAGGTGTTATTTAATAGACATATAATAATTGTACAGATTTGTGGGGTGGAGTATATCGTGATGTCTCCATACCTATCATGTACAGTGATCTGATGTGACCATTTGCTGACCCATTTAGTTCATTCCTGTTGACAAGACTTGCTTCTTTGTTCTCAAACCCCTTTTGGAAAGTGGAGAATTACTGTATTTAAGTTTCATGGGTTGGTTCATGCATAGTTAGAGGAAGACTAATGACTTTAATATGTAGGCTTCATATTGTATAGGAGTTAAAAGGAAAGAGAATCTATTATGAAGGCTGTTTGGAGCATTCTTTATTGTCCAGAGCTTCTGGGTAAGCCCTTAATTATTTACATCCTCGACATAAATTCTTGTTTCAGTAGAAGGAAGTGGCCCTGGTACTATCAAAGGCCAGCCTCTCCCCTGGTAACTTACAAATGGTTCCATTTCACCTTCTCAAGGACATCACCCCTGTTTCTCTTCATCATCACTCTCCCGTGTATTTGTTTCCTAGGGCTGTTATAACAAAATACTACAAATGTGGTGGCTTAAGATAACCAAAAACTATTCTCTCACAGCTCTAGAGGCTGGAACTCTAAAATCAAGGCATTGGCAGAGCCATGATCTCTTCGAAGGCTCTAGAAGAGAGTTTTTCCTTACCTCTTCCCAACTTCTGGTGTTGCTGGTAGTCCTGGGCGTTCCTTGGCTTACAGCTCCATCGCTCCAGTTTCTGCCTCTGTTGTCACATGGCCTTCTTCCTGTATCTCTCTGTGTCTGTGTCCAAATTTCTCTTCTTATTGTATCCTCTTATCATAAGGATACCGATCGTTGGCTTAGGACCCACCCTAATCTAGCATGACCTCATCTTAACTTGATTACATCTACAAAGAACTTATTTGCATGTAAGGTCACAAATGTGACCAGGTACTGGGGGTTAGGACTTGAATATATCTTTTGAGGGGACAGGTATCTACTCGCTATATCCCCCAGTTCTCTACCGGATCATTTGCCATCCACACGTAAATATGCTCCAGTATTGTCCATTACATTTGACAAATTACTGCCCAGTTTCTTTGGTCCCCTTCACAGCAAAGTTTCTTGGGAGTGGTTTTTATTCATTATCTTTACTTTCAAACCAGTGGTTTCTTTCTTTCACTTCAGTAAGCTTTGCTCTCCACTTACACCCATTTTATGGCCAAATCTAATGGGGCTATTTTAATACTATTAAAATTTTCAGAAGAATTCTGTACAGTTGATCATTTCCTCCTCTGAAATTGCTTCGCTAACTGGTTTTTGAGATACTGTACTCTCCTGGTTTTCCTTCTGCTTCACTGGTGCTTCCCCTTTTCATTCTCTGCTATCCCTTCCTTTCCTGACTTCACTTTTATACCCCAACCCCATTTGCCCCAATATTTTAGTATGTACATTTTCAAACCTACAGGAAAGTTGAAAGAATCATAAGTGACTGCTTTTATAGACATCACATTGGTTCTACCAGTAACATTTTACTATACTTGTTTTTATCACATATCTACCCTTTTATCCCTGTTTCCATCAGTTCCTCTTATTTTTGACATATTTTCAAGTAAATTACAGATATCTGTATACTTTCCCTAAATACTTTAGTGGGTGTATTATTAGCTAGAGTTCAATTTTTTTTACAGTTTTTTCTTATGTTGTAAAATGTTTATACAAAATGCATGCACAAATCTTGTGTACATTTGCTGAGTTTGTAACAAGTACATGTACTTACGGAACCCAAACCCCTATAAAGATAGAGAATATTACCATCATCCCAGGAAGCTCCCTCATGCTTTTTCCTAGTCAGTTCCTGCCCTACTCACACAGAGGCAATCACTATTCTAATTTTTATACCATAGTTTTGCCTGTTCTATAACTTTATATAAGTGGTGTCTTATAACTTATACTTGCGTGTAAAGCTTCTTTCACTTAGTATTATGTTTTTGTGATTCATTTATATTATTGTGTGTATCAGTAATTTGTTCCTTTTTATTCCTGAGTAGTATTCCATTGAGTGACTATGTCACAATTTGGTTATCAATTATATTGACAGACACCTGAGCTGTTTCCAGTTTTTGGCAATTTCAAATAAAACTGCATTTTAAATAAGTCTCTGTACGAAAGTATGTTCTCATTTCTCTTGGATAAATACCTAGGATTGGGAATAGTAGGTAACATGGTAAGTGTATATGGTTAGTTTCTGAGAAACTGTTAGACCATTTTCCAAGGTGGTTGTAGCAATTTGTACTCCTATCACTAATGTATGAGAGTCCCAGTTGTTCCACATCTTTGCCAACATTTGGTGTTATGATTCTTTTTAATTTTAGCCAGCCCTGTAGTGATATAGTTTTTATCATCATCTCCTTGCTGACTAATTATGTTGACCACTTTTCTTTGTGATTATTTACCTTTCATATATCTTACTTCATGAAGTATCTTTTCAAATGTTATTTTTCTCCAAAGTAGTCTATAGATTTATTACAAAACCAATAAAAATCCCAGCAGGATTTTTTGTGAGTGTAGACAAGCTAATCCCAAAACTTACATGTAAGGACCAAGGAGCTGGAGTTGCTTAAACAAATTTGAAAACGACGAACAAAGTTGGAGGAATCATTTTACTCTCAAGCTCCAGCAATCAAGATGTTGATACATAGATCAATGGAATAAGATACAGAGTCCTGAAATAGACCACATGCAAACAGCCATTTGATCTTTGACAAAGGTGCAAAATCAATTCAGTGAGAATAGTTTTCAACAGATTGTTTTATAACAATTTGTCATTTGCATTTAAAAGTGAAACCTTGATCTAAACCTCACATCTATACAGAGATTAACTTGAAATGAGTCATAGATGTAAATGTAAAACATAAAGCTATAAAATTTTTTAGAAGAAAACATAGGCGAAAAATCTTCATGATCTGGGGTTAGAAGTGACATCAAAAGCACAATCCATAACAGAGAAAACTGAAAAATTGGACTTCATCCAAATTAAAACCTTTTATTCTGCCAAGGATTGTTAAGAAAACTAAGAGACAAGCTACTGACTGGGAGAAAGTGTTTGCAAACCACATATTTGATTAAAGACTTATATCTCAATTATATAAAGAACTCTTAAAACTCAATAATAAGAACTCTCAAAACCAAAACATCTCAATTTAAAAATGGGCAAAGAACTTGAACAGACACTTCATTAAAGAATATATAAGAATGGCAAATAAGTACATGAGAAGATATTCAACATCATTAGCCATTCGGGAAATGCAAATTTAAACCACAATTACATACCACTATACACATATTAGAATTGCTAAAACAAAAAATGTGACACCACCAAATGCTGCCAGTTGGAGCTCTCATTTATTGGTGGTGGGAATGCAGAATGGTACTACTACTCTGAAAAATCATTCAGCAGTTTCCTATGAAGTTATACATACACTAACTGTGTGACTCAGAAGTCTCTCTACCTTAGTGAGATGAAAATTTTTGTTAATTCAAAAATCTATACATGAATGTTTTTAGCAGTTTTATTCATGATAGCCAAAACCTGAAAACAACACAAATGTCCTTCAAAAGATGAATGAATAAATTGGGGTACTTTCATACAAGGGAATAGTACTCAATGGAGAAAATAAATGATAGACAACTTGGATGAAACTCAGACATTATTCAGAGTGAGACAAGCCAGTATCAAAAGGTTGTGTACTGTATGATTCCTTTTATTTGACGTTCTTGAAAAGGTAAAACTATAGTGAGGGAAAACAAATCAGTGGCTGTCAGGGGTTATACATGAGATGAGAGTTTATATGAGTAGTCCCAGGGAACTTTTGGGTTTAATAGAACTGTAATGTATCTTGTTTGTGGTGGTGGTTACACAAATCTGTACACTAAAAGAAAAAACTTGTTTTACCCTATGATAATTTAAAAAATAAGATTATTTTTTAAATGTCAGAGTTCATTCTGTTTTATGAAACTTTGTATGTGAACTTGTTTTTGTTTTATTTTGCATTTTATTTGGTTTTGGTTTTTCTCCTCTCTCTCTCTGCTTTGGGGTAGGCCAGTTTCATCCATTGTTCTCTACATTTGGTGAGTTCTTTTAACTTGGAAACTGATATTCCCGAATTCTGGAGGGTTTTTTATTTTTATTTTTCTTGTTGCTGATTATTTCCTACCCCTTGCCGTCACCTCCAGTTTTTCTAATTCTCCCTTACTGATATTCAGACATTGGAATTCTTAGATCAGTTCTCTAATTTTCTCTTCTGTTTTCTTTCTTTTCTCTTTCTTCCTACCTTTTCTTTTTTATTTTTGTCTCTTTCTGGAAACTTAATCATATATTCTAAATCTTCTGTTGTTTAATAACCAATAATTATTTTTTTCTTCTCTGATTATTTATTTTTGATGATATCTTATTCGTGTTTCATTGTTGTGATCTTTTTTCATGGTCATTTTTCTTTCTTCTTCCTGAATGTGTGTGTGTGTGTGTGTGTGTGTGTGTGTGTGTGTGTGTTGTGTTGTGTTGTATTGTATTTGCCTTATCTTAGATGCTTTTCTTCAATATCTGATGGCTCTTCTTTGCTCATGTTTAAAAGTAAGATGAAAACACTGATTGGAAGTTCATTGCACATTGTGAGGCTTGTCAACTTTTAGCTTCACTATCTGGCAATTTGGCTCGGCTGTATAGTTGTGGAACCGTCAAAGGGAATATGATTAATTCTTTACTCTTGGTCTGGTTGGAGTCTGCAGAATGGAGACTGTTTTGGTCACCTGCATAGAGGGAAAGAGCTGATTCAGTGGAGCAAGAGGGCTGTAGGTCGCAGCATTCCAGGATATTCATTCACTCTTCCTATTTCCAGCCCAGTATCTTGCGCTCAACTGTGACTGTTTCTTGCTAATCCAGATGCTCTCTATTGTACCATTTCAAGAAATAAACCTTCAGCATTCGGCCCTGGTGGCAGGAATGATCCGAGGACCTAATTTGTTCTCAAACAGATTTTCAACCAACACTTACTTTAGCCAGCCCCAATCTCCCCTTGTGCACTCCCACTTTCATAAATGTCTGGTGTTGCCTGATATTCCTGAGTCTTTCAGGAATTCTCCTATGTAAAATTAAATTGGTTCTTAATTTTTCTTCCTGTTAGCTTGGGACTCACCTTTCTTTGCTTGATCTGTATGAGTGGAAAAGTTCTAAGTCTAGTGAACAGAAGTCTGAAGAATAATTGAAACAGGACTATAGTCATAGCCGCTCAATTAATTCCTAGATTAAGCCAGTTTACAGGTCCAGAACCTCTTGGATGATGAAGGGCCATCTATGTCTCCTTAAGGAAGGGCCCCGCTGTGCAGCCAAAAATTTATATTGTAAATCTTTCTCCTAGCCTTTCCCAAGGGGACCCTGCTGCCCTTCCTGTAATGCACAGTGTGACCGATTGTGGTCCATCGGTCAGAGTTGGGGCTTAGGGAGATCAGGTGATCGATGGAGTTTTAGCTTACGTTCCTCTCACAGTGGACCCAGTGGACTCCCAAACCCACCCTGTAGTTATTTCCCTAACTCTGGAATTCATGCTTGGAATAGACATACTCAGCAGCTGGCAGAATCCCCACATTTATTTTCCTGGATTTCCTAAGTCATTTACCATTCACCAGTTTGCCACTCAGCTTTCTGCTATCATCTTGTCCCTTTTGTTTTCCCTGCCTTGTGGGTCCGTGACTTTGAAAAATTACTGTATTGTTTTAGTGGTGCTCCAGAAGGGAGAGAGTATGGTACCTCTGGTCACTCTTCCATCTTTATCTGGTCATTCTTCCACCTTTACCTGAAACCTCTATCTATACTGTTTTGCTAGATGATGTTATATGGTCTTTTGGCTTTGAAGACTATCCGTAAACTAGTGAAACCTAATTTATGTCTTCAAGCCCTACTTCTCTTTTCCTCTGAGCTCTAGACTTGCATATATAACTTCTTAATGTTTTCTCCTTAGATATCTAATATACATCTCAGATAATTAATTCTAAACCCTCTCCTTGAAATATCAATTTCTCATCTGATCTTCTTGTTCTCAATATCACTACTAGCCAGCTACTTTCTTCATTCAAAAATCCTGGGAGTCATTCCCAGATTTTCCTTCTCTTCTACATCAACTTCATCAGCGAGTCCTACTAGTTCTAGATTCAAGATTTATCTAGAATTCATCCACTTCTCTTCATCTTTATGGCTTCTATCCTGATGGAAGCCATTTTCATTTCTCACCTGGGTCCATGCAGTAACCTCTCAGTTGCTCACCTGCTTCCAGTCTCACTCTCTTATAATCTGTCTACACAGTAGCCACAGTGAAAATTTTGACTTATAAGTTGGGTCATCTTCCTTCATTGATTAGAAACTCTCAATGCCATCCTCCCCCCCCCCCCCCCCGACTCTTCCATACTCCTTCCTCTGCCCACAAGGCCCTGTATGATCTGGTTCCTTGCCTAAATTTCTGACTTAATTTTCTGCCAATGTTTTCCTTGTTCCCTCTACTCTGGTTCACACAGGCTTCTTGTTCATCAAACTCACCAAACTCACTTGCCCCTCAGGGCTTTTGCAGTTGCCATTTTGTCTCTGTGAATATCCTTCCCCCCATATCTTCATATGGCTCACTCCTCATTTCATTCAAGTCTTTGCTCAAGTAGTGCTAACTCTGAGAAGACTTCCCAGGCCACTCTCTCTCCTTTCTCCCAGATCCCACTGTGTTACTCTCTTTGATGCCATCTTATTTATTTCCTTCTGGAAGTAACTTATTCATTAACTTTATTATCTTTCTCAAGCCATTTGAATATAAGGCCTGTTACTCTGATCTGGCATGTTCTTTGCTGATACCATCACAGCTAGAGCAGTACCTCACCTATAGGAGATAGAAACCAAAAGACTTCTGGCTGGGTGGCTAGGAGAGCATGTGAATAAATACTTGTGAAGTTGTATACTGAATATTAGCATACTGGTTCTTCTGAATCTCACAATTCAGGCTTTATATGGAATTCTTTCCCACTTTGACTGGTTCTACTTGAGTACTTTTATGTGTTCCTTCTTTTCTTGCCAAAAAATCCGTTTTAGTCCTGAAAGCTTGAATTCCCAGACAGCAGATTGCTTGGCCTCTTTTCTGCCTTTCACCCAGATGTTATACCTTATACCATGTGTTGTGCAGAAACCTGGATGAGACTTTGGTGGAGGGGCAACTAATGTACCTTTTTGGCCCTCAGACCTGACTGAGTATGGTGCTGGTTTACAAACCCGAGATTGCAACTAGAAATTTAAGTCCTATTTGCTCACCACTCATTATTGGAAGTCTGTTTTTGCTTTCCGCTCTCTCCTAGTCTTTTAATTTTTAATGACACTCTCCACCAGCTACTGATCCTGTTAAAACAGGCTAAAACTAAGGCAGGGTGATAGAGGGGAGTAGGTCAGTTTCATTTCATTGTCTTCAGAAAGGAGTTGAGAAATTACAAATTGTGAAGTCCCTTTTGTCTGGTCACCAGCATTAAATCTGGTACCTCCCAGTCCTCCTGTTCTTGAGTTATACAGCACTTGTGTTTGTGGGTCCAGCCATAAGTTTCCTTTTAATATCTGATGAAGCAGGGATGAATTCAAGAAATGACTCCTTTGCTTTTTTGTTTTTCTTCTGTTTTGTACAACTCAGGAGGTTCATCAAGAACGAATTGCATTGGAAAACCAATTGGAACAACTTCGTCCAGTCACTGTGTTGTGACCCCCCCCCCCATGGTTCAAGTGACAGTGGGTGACCTTGTCTGCCAAGATCTTTCTTTCAAATGTTTTGAATCCAACTACTTGTCATAGATGTTTGACTGTGTCAAAAGCTGTGAGCAGCAAAATATAATCCATATGACCTTTTCTCTTGCACTTCACTTGTATGTTTTACTGTGGTGGAAAAAATACTTCAACTGATTATCACACTTGAAATGGTAATTATCAGTGGAATTTGTC